AATATATATTCATTATGATTCAATCATTCATAATTTCCATTTTTAATCAAAACATTTATCAAGATTTAATCATCATAATCATCAATCAATAATCATTACCATAATCACCAATCAACATAATATTCAATAACAATTAGCGGCCTAGCTTCGAGTGTTAACACCCAAACTTACCGTCATGCATCACACAAAATTTTATTTGCCAAAAACATCATTTATTACACAAAATCATATTTAAATTGTTCATAATTAATTAGAATAATTTCCAAGAATTGTTCATATTTCCAAGAATATTTTCGGAACACTGGAATTGAGGAAAAATCGATTTATTCAATAAATTAATACAAAAATCGATTTTTAAATATATATTAATCTATTTAAATATACAAAATCGATTTTTCAACATATATTAATCCATTAAATACACAAAAATCGATTTTTCAACATATATTAATCGATTAAATAGGAATATCGATTTTATAATATATTTTAACCGATTAAATACTAACAATCAATTTTATACCTTAATATAATCGGTTATTATTATTTTACTTTGATACGCTTTATCTGAACAAGTTTTATTCGATTCTTATCTAGGAAATAATCGATTTTCTGTTGCTGTTCATCATCTTCTTCCTCTGGTCTATTTTCGAAATTATCATTTTTAAACACCAAACTTTAATTTAATTATATAGAAATGTTCTCACAGGTTTATAGATCATTTTAGAATCATTAAAACATATTTTTAACATCAAATTCGAGGTTTATGATTCTTGGTTCTTCAAACATGTCAAACACAAAACTCAACCAAACGACCGTTTATGAACGTAGAAACGATCTATACGAACATTCTAGTCATTAGATATATCAACGGGCTTACCTCGAAGGTAAATGAAGGTTTTGAATATTTTCCGGCGAAACTTCCGGCGACGATTACTCCCAACTCCGGCGACCTCTCACCAAATTGACAGCACTACAGCGTTCTCCTTACTTTGAGCAACCGAATAGAAGAAGGAAGTATATGTTTTGGTGAAGAATTGAGAATGCTTAGCTCCCTTTATATAGTGGATTTGAGGGAGAAGAAGACACTGGTTGGTGAGCGTAGGAAGATTCACAATCTGCTTAGTGCGCTGGGAGGCGCCGTTCGCACAGTGTCCCTGATTGGGACCAATTTTGGTTCCAGTTGGGGTACACTTTTTGGTTCAACTTTCTCCGAATTGAATTCCGTTTGCACCGTTGTGATTGGGCAGTTAAACTCTATCTATTGATATAATTTTTATATTTATTTGTAATACTTTTTCCGACATCATATTTTTGAGTGTTTGACTTTGACAGAGTAAAAATTGATTTATTTGATCTTTATTCAAAAAGGTTCTCACAATTAATTCATATCATTTATTCCCATGATTCATTTTAGTAAATCTTTTCAATATTTACATCACAAGTCAATTTCTTAATTTATTCTTGATTTGGGTCTGTACTCAGGTTCTCAATCAGGATCACACAATAAGTTAACAGGTTGGATTTATCTCTATGAGATTTAACCCAATTATGATTATTGGACATCAATATATATTTTATTTCGGCCCAAAGCCTAACAATAATTTATTTTAATCAAAACCAATTTTGTTTAATTGAATATTTAATTCAATAAATTTTAGGGTATATTTTGGGGCGTTACATTTCTCCCCCTCTTAAAGGAATTTCGTCCTCGAAATTCTTCTAAGGCTCAACGTTCAACATTTTGTTGTGATCGCACTTAATCATAATCGCGTCATGTTCATTCAGTTAAATCATAATCACGTCATTATCCACACGGATAGTTATTCTCAAACTGTCGATGTTACGAAACTCGCTCTTTCTTCAAGAGATTAACAATCTTTGATTAAGCAAGACATTCAGTGATCCTTCATTATCAACAACTATAGTTCCTTCGTTGTGTATAGTGTTATATACTTGCCATACTTGCACAAAACTTCGTTCAGTCTCAATTCCTCGTTGTACCACGTTGATTAACAATATTCTTCCTCTGATTGAAGGTTTTTCAGTAGCATTTGTAATTTCAAGTTTGCGGTAGATGTAGTCAAAGATTTGGAGGTTGTTTAATTCATACATCATAACGTAATTTTCTCAAGTTACTTGAGTTATCTTCATATCGTTCACATAATTCAACAATAATTCGTAAGTACATCAATGGCGTTTAGTGGTCCAAGATTTTCAAGATATGGGATTTATCATCATTCACGAGGGAGTACTGTCGATTAGTTGTACAGTAGTTCGCTATCATCGATCGATTCATATTATCGTTTTAATGAGTCTTCGTATTAATAGGTGATGACGTTCGAGTAGTGTCTCATGTATGACTTGTTGTATTCAAACTAGACTCGTAACCGTGCGTTGCACGGCCTAATTATAAACTATATAATTAGGAAAATCATTGATGAAAGAAAACGATAAAATTAAATTACAATAATAACATATAATCAAATAATAAAGACACGAACGGCTCGTAACATAAGCATCCAAGTGGTTCGATAATTGTTAATCTCGGCAAGTGCATTTCACATACTCTTTAAATGTTTTGAGACATTTTTTTTGAAAGTTGGGCGAATTGGGATGAGAGGTATGAAATGTTTAGATGATAAGTAGTACATATAATTCGACAATCAATCTACTCATTAAATATCTTGATTTAGTGAATCTATTTCTTTAATATGATTTGACATAAAGTATGCATTGATTCACGCATCAACTTTATTACGCACGCGGTTTCATAGCAATACAACATTTATTTATTTATTTTGATTTGACATAAAATTTACATTGAACTAAGCACCAATATTACTACATGCGCGGTTCCATACCAATACACTACACATTTATTTATTTTGATTTAACATAACGTATGCATGGAGTCACGCATCAACTTTACTACGCACGCGGTTCTATAACAGTACACTATCTATTTATTTATTTTGATTTGACATAAAATTTGCATCGAGCCACGTACCAACAATACTACACACGCGATTCCATATCAATATATTACCTATTTATTTATCTTGATTTGATATAAAGTTTGCATCGAACCACGCACCAACATAACTATGCACGCGGTTCCATATGAATACACTACCATTTATTTATTTCGATTTGACATAAACTTTGGAAAATGAAGTTATTAATCCATCCATTAAATGCTTGAAAATAGGAAAAGTATAAATTAAATGGATTTGACATAAAAACATTGAGCAATGAGAGAGATTTGACACTACTTTTACTTTATGGAGAAATGCACCCATGATTTGACCTGAAGATGTCCAAGCTAGCAAAAAGAAAGATAGAGAGTTTGGAGAGAGAGCTTCGAGAGATCGGTGGATAGAGAGACGAAGTACATCATCGGTTGGATATCATCGCTACAATCGCCGGTATTATTATATAATTTTTCATAGGAATTTCTTTTTTCAGAGTTCATACCCCCATTTAATCAAGTATTCGAATTTATCTTAGATTTTTTGATTTATATAATTGTTCAAAATTTTAAAAATACTTTTTAATTGTCATGAATCATGAAATTTTTCGTGATCTGTTTTTAAACAACCATGCATGTTTATTAAGACTTCGAATTATAATGAGGATATATTTTATAAAATAAAATCTGTTATACTTTTAGACTAATTAGATTTCTGAAAATATTTTTAGTAAAAAATATTTTTCCATTAGGCATTATTCGCAATTTTTATACTTTCCAACTTTTTTTCTATCTTTATATACTACAATTTCATGACCTAAGATATTTGATATGGTTTGCTAAAAACTTCCATGTCCAATTTTAATGTATAATTATGAAGTAGAAGGGTTATTTTAATATATAATGTATATTAAATGTTAAAAATATACGGTTTATGAAATACTTCAAGGAGAAATATTTATTTTCATTTAATACTAATAATTTTTCTTATACCATGCAATTATGAACTTATTATTCTGATTTGCATACATGAAATGAGAAATATTCAGGCCCACTTTTTCACTAAAAATATTTTAGTGATAGTATACACTTTTTTCCTATAATTTGCTTTTGGAAATTATAGTAAAAGATCTGGTTTTCAAATTTCTTCTTTTCAACAATCTGGGTACGCCATCTTCAACGATCTGGTTTTCAAATTTCTTCTTTTCAAGTTTTTTAAGATGCGCATGTATCCTCGTCCCCTACAAAAAACAAAAAAAAATAAGTGTTCATCATTGTAAATACGGGAATATAGTAAAAGAGAAATGGAAAAAAATTTACATGTTCGTCATGGAAGATGACTTCCATGGAATCACCTTTGCCCATGCAGGAACGTGGTAAACGCGAATGGCTCGTAACTTGAGCATCCATATCGTGAGAGTGTTATAAATTTTGTCAAGGAAATTCCACATCACGGTTTGTGGGTTTTGGGACATTTCGATCACTCACGGCTATGGTATGTTTTGAATGGTGTGTATGATATAAACGAATTCGGGTATATATATACTTGGGCTTGGAGGCAACTTAAACTATCACATTTAATGTCCATGTACTTAAAGATTTTTTGAATCAATAGATTAAGATATGGATTAGACATAAATTTAATAAAGTAGATTTATTGGACCGAGGTGCTTTAATAAAGTAGATTTATTGGACCGAGGTGCTTTAATAAAGTAGATTTATTGGACCGAGGTGCTTAAATAAAGTAGATTTATTGGATCGAGATGTTTTAATAGATTAAATTTATTGGACCGATGTGCTTTCCATCATTTCTAAGCCGACCTATACGCCTACATTTACACGTTAATTTAGACAATTGAATTGCTATAGGTTCGGCCCATTAAAGGCAGCCCACTTGGCCCAATAAAAATAGGCGGGAACACTATCCATAAGGTGCTCTTACCATTGTATATAGGAGGATTTTAAGTTGTTCAGATCGTCGCGGTAAAGGTGGTGTGAGTATAAGCGGTGTCCGCATCGCACAATCATCACAAATGAAAAATAATCCCCAACCCATGCCACCAATTTGTAAGCACGTAAAATGACCACGTACGGTAAAACATTTCCAACAATCTTCCATAAATTCGGATTCTTGAGTACTCTTGCACTTATAACATGGACTCAACCAACTACCAATTCTTGTTATAATTGCTCAATAAATAAAATAACTTATTTTTTTGAAAAAACATTTAAAATCCCAGCCCTTTAATTTTTTTAGGAAAGCATATTTATGTACTCCGTATTATCATATTATTCTAATAAAAACACAGCTGCTTTAAATAATCCAAATCCATGAATCAGCCCATATCCATTAAAAAGCCCAAAACAATAATTGGCCCTTCAATTAAACATTATATTCGCTGCCCATCTTATCCCTGGAGGCATTTCGGCCACAGACATACGCCGTTGCTTCTCTCCAATTCTAGATCTGCCCATCTTCTTTGCTTTGATAGGATCGGCGGTGGAGGTTTTCATTGCCGGTTTATCATGCCATTCTTAGCTGGTATCTTTATTTCTTTGTTCGTAATTTTGCTTTCCAGTCATACTCCCATTTATTAAGGGTTAGAATTTTTGTAAGATATGTTGACTTATTACAGTTTTAAAAATTTCAGAGGATATTTTTAAGTTTATGAATGTATAAAAATTTTAGATCTATTTAATAACACAATGCATGTTAAATTTTATGTTTTTAGTGAATAGCTTCATAAATTAATCGAAAATCTTTTGAAAAGTCAAAAAATGTTTTTTCATGTCTTGTTCTAAATTATTTC